AGTGAATTGATAACCATTCTATAATAGGGGCACCAGAATTGAACCGCATAATCGAGGTGCGGCCTGACTAGCGCAAGATATAGTTGCAATAAGACCTCTGCACTCTTGTTACTTACACTTCTAGATATAAAACCCAATACTCTGTCTGCCTTATTTCGAACATTAACGCACTGTTTTCTAGGCCGTAGGTCCGGGCTCACAAGACTCTTTCACAAGTCGACTTTTCTAGGTTGATGTTGTTAAGGCTGTATACATTGACATTACTTCTCTGTCAGTCTTGTCTGTATTTGAGTCACTGTAAAGTAACTAACCTAACTATAACACATTTAAGTGAACTGATCTAAGCTTACCTGCTTAAATTTAATTAATCAATCGTTGCCCAAGTTAAATTACAACCGTTATGTTTAATTTGTTGTGTTGTGAGAAATGACGTAGCGTCTGGCTGCCTTACAGATTGTGTTACTACGGTTCAACCATTAAGGTATTGCTTAAACTTAGTGTTGTAGGTCAGTAAATTCATTACTTATCAAGGATTAGTTAAGATAAATCTCTGTGGTCATTGTGTGGGCGTTCAGGGCCGTAGGTGAGACTTTGGGTGCGAGTGAGTGAGAGCCAAGACTACACTGCCGCCTTACTCCAGCGGTACTTAAGTCGTGGGTGAGTGTGACGCCTCTTCCTGCCAACACACACTCAGGTGGTATTAGTATCTAACATCTGAAGCAGTAAACAATATTATACTTACCCGCATGTTGGTCATCTAGAGCGTGGGTGGTGTTGTCTAGGGCGTGAGAGAGGACCACAAGTGCCCAAAGAAGCACCGCCCTTGTCACCCCGAGAGAATCCATGACCTCTAATTGGTCAAAGTCACGTTCATCTCGACCAATCAGGGAATTTCATCATGTCTGTCGGGAACCTTTACTCACCAACTTCTCTGTCACTTCCTTTACCCTCTTTATCAATATTTCTTTAACAAGTTGAGTATTTTATTAAGAATTGACTTCTGTGCCGCTCGTTTCAGCCTCACGTTCAAGGCTTGACTGTACAATTTCAACGGAGATACAGAGAGTGATCTTACATACAAAATCGTCACACAAGATGCAACAATCACATGATGTTTCTAAGAGTATCGTCTTTATTTCCGTATATGAAAGATACTCTAAGTCATCAAGAGAAGCCAAGAGACACAGCAACTACAGGAAGTGGTGGGTGGGGTGGTGGAGGAGCTGGCCGGTCTACACGTCACGGTAGCTGAGGGGCGACTGACTGACTGACTGCAAACTCACTTCCATGTCTCGTCATACTTACCAGTGTCCAGCACACTGCCCGCCCCTTCAGTTGCCGCCTCTATATTTTCGTCCTTTCTTGTCTATATAAACTATTAATCTATATTTCCTATACACGAACGTAACCTAGAATATATTTTTTTCAGAATCCTATACTTTTATTTACATAAATACTGTAATAGTAATTTAAGAGATGTGGTTTACTAAATATTTCTTTATATAACCTCGATAACGCCTGCTAGATACGCCTTACATGACCTCAACACTCAATATAGTGTCCGTGTGTCCGTTAGTTGGTCCGTAGCTCGAGCATGACGTATTGTATTTGTCTGTGATTGAGTTTATAGTAAAGGCCCGGTTGTCAACTTTTTCTATCTCTCCATCCCAGTCCCTATCTCTCCATCCCAGTCCCTATCTCTCCATCCCAGTCCCTATCTCTCCATCCCAGTCCCCATCTCTCCATCCCAGTCCCCATCTCTCAGTCCCATCCCCCTCTCCATCCCAGTCCCTATCTCTCCATCCCAGTCCCCATCTCTCCATCCCAGTCCCCATCTCTCCATCCGTCCCTATCTCTCCATCCCAGTCCCTATCTCTCCATCCCAGTCCCTATCTCTCCATCCCAGTCCCTATCTCTCCATCCCAGTCCCTATCTCTCCATCCCAGTCCCTATCTCTCCATCCCAGTCCCTATCTCTCCTTCCCAGCACCTCTCTTTCCATTTCAACACCTATCTCTCCATTCCAGTATATATTTCCCCTTTGTATCAAACTCCTTTCACATTTAATATTCAATAGTTTAAACCTCTACACCTACACTGTAACTCCTACTAGTATAACAAAACACAAAACACTAAACTATCAATAATAAACTGGATCCCTACAAGAGCACAGGTGTTGGTAGCAGGCCAGCCAGGTTTTTGAGGGAGGTGCCACTATATTAAAGACACTTAAAGACACCAATAACACATCTCATTAATCTCTCCATTACCACACCTGATGAGCGTAAGTTTGTAACACCTATCTATAAGAAATGTGACGGGTATGATGTAGGTATATACAGGCCAGTTAATATACTGTGAACTGTATCTAAAATTCTAGTGAGCAGTGTACGTTCAGGTGGAAAGATATCTCCGGGAGTAGTATAAAAATTTGTACAGCCACCAGTCAGGTTTTAGAGGCTCTCACTCATCTGACACCAGTCTGATCCATCTCACTGACTATCAGGGGCGGATCCAGGAATATCAAATTGTGGGGGGGGGGGGAGGGTCCAATAAGTTGTGGTGAGCACAGCAAGCCATTTTGAGGCCATGTGTACTAGATATTAGGAGATATTCTGAGGACAATATTAAAAACTTTTTACTATACAAAAACGCCTGAGTACAATGCTGCATTTAAAGAAATGTATTGGAATTTTCTGATGAAAAGGAGGATCCGGACCCCCCCCCCCCAATCCATCCCTGAGACTATATCAGATTTCAAACAGCTCAGGGAAATTACACGGATATGGTAACACTAGACTTACAAAAATCCTTCGACACACTTGATCATGACATACTGTACTTGTGTGAAAAACTGCAGGCTACTGGCATTGGTTCTGTCGACTGGTTTAAATCATATACAGTAGTAACAGGAAGCAACTTCTTGTTGCAAATAACGGTCAACATCCGTGCCAATAGCCTATGGAGTTCTAGGACCTTTGCCCTTCTGTGTTACGTAAATGACGTGCCCATTAGTGTTAATTGTAAACTTTTGCTGTGTGCCAATGACAGTACTGTACTCTTTTAGTGTCAAGTGGATACAGCACTCGCCTCCTGCTCCAGGGGTCGGTGGTTCAATTCCTGGGTGCTCCCAGTTGTAAATGGGTACCTAAGTTTACAACTTGGGGAAATGAATACGGTCGAGTGCAGTACCGGCCATGCTGCCTCCTTGTGTACCAAAGGCTTAGTATACTGTGTACTGTATCCAGGGCTGTCCCTAAGGCCAGTTATGCCTATGGGTCTCACTTTCATTTTTCAAGTTCATCAGTTCCTGTGTAAGTCACTCAGTCTCCAAGTACAATACTGTACATGTTTTACAAGGGATATGAGTACTTACTGTACTGTATTAAAAAATATTTAAATTTATTTTCCTCTCAAGATACATAAATAATCTGTAGTTCACATAAGTAATTTATATTGTAACGTCATATACTATTAGAGAAACAATAAACACTTAAAATTACATTCCATTGGGAAGGGGGGGGCATAATTGCACACCTGTACGTTCATAACTAAAAATCGGCATGCTTCATCTGTAACACTTGCAGTGGTTTGTTCATTGTCGTGTGGATGGTGAGGCAGTTCCATTTACCTTTTAACATACACCTGTAAATGAAGTGACTGAGTATTGACTGTATAACAAGCTGGTGATGTTAATAATAATTCTCTAAGAAAAGATTCTACAAATTCTCTTTCATATTAACAGTAAGAAGTACAGTACACACAGGTGGGGGGAGGAGGTAGTACAGGTAATAAATAAACTCTTTCTTAATACTAAACAAACAAAATAAATATTCCCACATTGTAAAAAAATCCCTAAGAAGAATATCACACATTTGTTATAAAAAAATAAATATTCTATGCCTGCTTGTAAAAAAATAATATGTAGAAGAAAATGTTTTTATCTATATACACTTGTTGCAATTATATCTGAATTATAGGTACAGTCGATTATCGAGAATATAGTACAGGTTGGTACAGTATATAATTATTGGTCAGTACATGTATGCCATATAAGATTAGAGTATAGCAAGGTATCTTAACAACCTCTCCAGTAACACACATACACACACTATAGAGAGTACCCTGGAAACATCTTATGGTTCAGTATTTACAAAAGGAGAATTTCTTAAAAATCTATTACATTCACAACACACATACACAGTATACAATTATAGGAACCCATCCATGTACTATAACTTACTCTAGGATATAGATCTCTACTATATAAAAATATGAACATAAGTAACATTTTTTCCATATCATTCTATAACATTCATGGTATAAATATATCTTTCAGAATATATATACTATAGTGCTTTCTAAAAAAAATCCTTTATATGAACAATGAACTTTTCTCACAAAATCCAGAAACCATTTTTTTAAAAGAATCTTTGTGTAAATGATTGGGAGAGTACAGGTTAGGAGTGATAAACATCTGACATCACTAGTAATACCTGACAAGACTAGTAATATTGACATCATCTCTACTAATATATCTGACATATCTAGTAAGCTAATAAACATCTGAAGTCACATAACAAAAAACATAAACTATTCAGTGGTCAATAACAATTCCAAATCACTTTAAAATAACAAACAAAACTAATCCTAACCCAAGTAATGAGTCCTTTCTTTGTCCTCTCACTGTACTGTTTTTTGTACCTTTATTATAGAATTGAAGACACAAGGTGATACGAGGTGACGGACTCCTTTAACCAACATACACTACTGTAGTCTCCTTCCTTTCCTGGATAAAAATGGTCAGTTGGTTCTTGTCATAAGTGTACATAATACAAAAGTAATTACGTATTGCCAATGTTGTTACCAAAACATAGTAATTCTTACAATATTAATGGTAGTTCTTAACACACTGAGAAAAACATATATTGGTAAAGTATTTCATAGTTGGTTACTGTATATTGCAGTGAAATAACTTGCCTCAATACTGCAATTAGTTACCTGTATATTGCAATTCAATAACCTGACTCAAATTATTCCCAGAAGATGGGGAAGACGTTGGTGGTGTTTTCAAAACTTCTGTGGAATTTCTTTGTTCCTCACCGGATTTGGAAGCTCTATTCTTTCCCCTCAAGTTACGTATTTCCCCGCTGTCAGGGGTAGCGAGACGTTGCCGTAAGCCACACTCGATGAGGTGCCTGGTGCTATACTTATACAGTTCTGTGTATTTCTCATCGCTCAGATACGAGGAATGGCTTACATCTTGAGCGATCACATCCTGTCCACAAGGGCCAGAACCGTCACTAGGTAAAGAGATCGATGGGCTTGTGTGGGTAAAGAGCCAGTCAGTCGGGGAGATGTAGCCTGATAAGTCATGAGGTTTAATAAATGGTAAATCAAGTAATACCTTTCTCTTTTTGAGTGATTTAACTCCATAATAATTTGAACAAATTTCATCTTCACTATCAGGTACAATAACACTGTCTTCACTATCAGGTACATCACTTTCTTCCCCTTTGTCATGTTTACTTATGTACAGGAGGGTTTCAATTTTGCCACGTTCCTCAGGTGTTCCAAATTTGCGTTCTTTTTCCTCCTGTCCCTCACAAACTTTTTCCGTTGTCTTGGCGATGGCTTCCTCAAGAGTGGTATTTGGTTTAGAACAACATTTAAAACCGACTTGATAGTCAGGCTCGTTCTTCTGGTCACTGTCACCGTCGCTCTCATCGGCATCGTAATCCGAGCCACTGTTGCCACTTTCATCAACATTTAGCTCATTTTCACTTACACTCTGATCTTGTTTGTTACTAGTTCTTTGTTCTTCAGGTTCACTCTCATCAACTTGTTCTTCATGTTCATTATCATTATCAACTTGTTCTTCAGGTTCACCATCATTATCAACTTGTTCTTCATGTTCACCATCATTATCAACTTGTTCTTCAGATTCACTGTCATCAATTTGTTCTTCATATTCACCATCATTATCAACTTGTTCTTCAGGTTCACTGTCATCAATTTGTTCTTCATGTTCACCATCATTATCAACTGATTCTTCATGTTCACCATCATTATCAACTTGTTCTTCATGTTCACCATCATTATCAAATTGTTCTTCATATTCATCAGTGCTATCATCTTGTTCTTCAGCATTATCATTTTGTTCACCATCATGATCACCTTGTTCTTCTTGTTCTTCACCATTATCATCTTGTTCTTGTTCATCAGCATTGTCTTGTTCTTCTTGTTCACTATTATCATCTTGTCCTTGTTCCTCAGTCTTATTACTTTGTTCTTCTTGTTCACCATCATCATCGTGTTCACCTGTATCATCTTGTTCACCGGTGTCACCTTGTTCACTATTATCATCACCTTGTTCTTCTTGTTCATCACCATTATCATCTTGTTCTTGTTCATCAGCATTGTCTTGTTCTTCTTGTTCACTATTATCATCTTGTCCTTGTTCCTCAGTCTTATTACTTTGTTCTTGTTCACCATCATCATCGTGTTCACTATTATCATCACCTTGTTCTTCATGTTCAGCATTATCATCTTGTTCTTGTTCATCAGTATTATCATCTTGTTCACTATTATCATCACCTTGTTCTTCATGTTCAGCATTATCACCTTGTTCTTCATGTTCACCGTTATCTTCTTGTTCACCATTATCTTGTTCTTGTCCATCATCATTATTACTTTGTTCTTGTTCATCAGCATTATCATCTTGTTCTTCAGCATTATAATCTTGTTCTTCATGTTCATCAGCATTATAATCGTGTTCTTGTTCATCAGCATTATAATCTTGTTCTTCTTGTTCATCAGCATTATAATCTTGTTCTTCTTGTTCATCAGCATTATATTCTTGTTCTTTCTGTTCATCAGCATTATAATTTTGTTCTTCTTGTTCATCAGCATTATATTCTTGTTCTTTCTGTTCATCAGCATTATAATCTTGTTCTTCTTGTTCATCAGCATTATATTCTTGTTCTTTCTGTTCATCAGCATTATAATCTTGTTCTTCTTGTTCATCAGCATTATAATCTTGTTCTTCTTGTTCATCAGCATTATAATCTTGTTCTTCTTGTTCATCAGCATTATATTCTTGTTCTTTCTGTTCATCAGCATTATAATCTTGTTCTTCTTGTTCATCAGCATTATAATCTTGTTCTTCGTGTTCATCAGCATTATCATCTTGTTCTTCAGCATTATAATCTTGTTCTTCTTGTTCATCAGCATTATAATCTTGTTCTTCTTGTTCATCAGCATTATAATCTTGTTCTTCTTGTTCATCAGCATTATATTCTTGTTCTTTCTGTTCATCAGCATTATAATCTTGTTCTTCTTGTTCATCAGCATTATATTCTTGTTCTTCGTGTTCATCAGCATTATCATCTTGTTCTTCAGCATTATAATCTTGTTCCTTTTGTTCATCAGTATTATAATTTTCTTGCCCATCAGCATTATCGTCTTGTTCTTCTTGTTCATCATTATCACCTTGTTCTTCTTGTTCATAATCATTAATACTTCGTTTTTGTTCATCATTAGCATCTTGTTCTTCTTGTTCTTGTTCACCATTATCATCTTGTTCATAAGCATTATTACTTTGTTCAGCTTGCTCATCAGCATTAATACTTTGTTCTTCTTGTTCATCCTGTTCATAGGCATTAATATTTTGTTCTTGTCCATCATCATTATCACCTTGTTCTTCTTGTTCATAAGCATTAATACTTTGTTCTTCTTGATCATTATCATATTGTTCTTCTTGTTCACCATCATCTTGTTCTTGTTCACCATTATCATCTAATTGTTCATAAGCATTATTACTTTGTTCTTTTAGTTCATCATTAGCACCTTGTTCACCATCATCTTGTTCTTGTTCACCATTATCATCTTCTTCATAAGCATTATTACTTTGTTCATCTTGTTCATAAGCATTAATAGTATGTTCTTGTCCATCCTCATTATCATCTTGTTCTTCTTGTTCACCATTATCATCTTCTTGTTCATAAGCATTATTACTTTGGTCTTCTTGTTCATCATTATCTTTTTGTTCTTCACCATTATCATCTTGTTCATAAGCATTAATACTCTGTTCTTGTCCATCCTCATTATCACCTTGTTCACCTTGTTCTTGTTCACCATTATCATCTTCTTGTTCATAAGCATTATTACTTTGGTCTTCTTGTTCATCATTATCTTTTTGTTCTTCACCATTATCATCTTGTTCATAAGCATTAATACTCTGTTCTTGTCCATCCTCATTATCATCTTGTTCACCATTATCATCTTCTTGTTCATAAGCATTATTACTTTGGTCTTCTTGTTCATCATTATCATTTTGTTCTTCACCATTATCATCTTGTTCATAAGCATTAATACTCTGTTCTTGTCCATCCTCATTATCATCTTGTTCACCATTATCATCTAATTGTTCATAAGCATTATTACTTTGGTCTTCTTGTTCATCATTATCATTTTGTTCTTCACCATTATCATCTTGTTCATAAGCATTAATACTCTGTTCTTGTCCATCCTCATTATCATCTTGTTCACCATTATCATCTAATTGTTCATAAGCATTATTACTTTGTTCTTTTAGTTCATCATTAGCACCTTGTTCACCATCATCTTGTTCTTGTTCACCATTATCATCTTGTTCATAAGCATTATTACTTTGTTCATCTTGTTCATAAGCATTAATAGTATGTTCTTGTCCATCCTCATTATCATCTTGTTCTTCTTGTTCATCTTGTTCTTGTTCACCATTATCATCTTCTTGTTCATAAGCATTAATACTTTGGTCTTCTTGTTCATCATTATCTTTTTGTTCTTCACCATTATCATCTTGTTCATAAGCATTAATACTCTGTTCTTGTCCATCCTCATTATCATCTTGTTCACCATTATCATCTTCTTGTTCATAAGCATTATTACTTTGTTCATCTTGTTCATAAGCATTAATACATTGTTCTTCTTGATCATCGTTATCTTGTTCTTCTTGTTCACCATCATCTTGTTCTTGTTCATAAGCATTATTACTTTGTTCATCTTCTTCATAAGCATTATCAATTTGTTCTTCAAGTTCATCCGGATACTGGTTCACATTTTCCTCTGGACTTGTATTTTCTTCTTCTGGACTTGGGCTCTCGTCATAAATCCTCTGCGCTCTACTGGGCCCAATTTTCCTCCTCTGCTGGGCCTCCTTCAGGTGTTGTGATGCTGTCCTCCTCTCTTTCACACATCTATCTGTTAGAAAATAATATAGAAACTGAAATAAACCCAAAACGAGAAGTATGAGAGAGAAAATAATAAAATTGAACTGGGTAATACTAAGACAAGGCAAACAATAAGAGGGAAAGCAAAGATAGGAACATGGACTCTGGATGTAAATGAGGAAAATGTAAATAAAATACAAATATACTTACAAACAATTGATATAGATAAGGATTATAAATACTGCTAACTACAGTAAATTGCACGTACAGTACACGTTAAAATTACCTATTGGGACGACATCCGGTAATTGGCGTGGGCGTTGGGTTGTGGGCCAAGTTTGGGATCGTTTTTTATGCAAGGACATTTTTCTCCTCTTACCTGACTGAACACAATCGTTAGTGATGCTACGTTTCTTTGCACCCATCTTCCCGGTGAATCTGAAAAACATTACTTGATCTTTACGGTGTACATTAAGCGAGCACGTGAAGTCTAGTGCAAAATCCCCCCACCTATTGTACGTATCCACTCAGCTGCCATATGCTATTTCTGAATTTTGTCATCACCGCCATCATTACCACCACTATCTAACCATCACCACCACTAACTCCACCACCATCATCATTGTGTTATACCTTTTATGGCTACCTGTATTTTCTTTTTCACATTTCACACTTCATCTCTACATCATCACTTTTCTTTCATGCTTATACAACCTGCAATCATTTCTTCTTGCATTTGTAATCATTCAATTTTCCATCTCTATGTACAGATTGGCTCAGTATTGAAACCTTTAAAATTAAAAATGGTCTAAAGGCACACACAAAATAAAATAGCCTGGCAATTACCGGAAAATAAAAGAAAACTTCCTTCTGCGACTCTTGACATCCATTGTGAGGGCACTATGAGCCATCACTGTGGCCTCCTGTAATTTTTGCATGGTCACCAGATCCTGGAAAATGTACTTACAGTAACTATACCACTCCTGTATATACATATTAAACACTAATACAGTACAGTACTTTACTCCTGACTTATGGGACACAATGGGAATTTTCTTCAGGATAAATTTCCACATCACTCTTAGGGACAAATTTCCACATCACTCTTAGGGACAAATTTCCACATCACTCTTAGGAACAAATTTCCACATCACTCTTAGGTACAAATTTCCACATCACTCTTAGGGACAAATTTCCACATCACTCTTACATTTCTGTCACAACACACTTGAAAATTCTGTGTTTGGGGAATTGAGTTTTAGAAACAGTTGTGTCTGGCAGAGTGTATCCTGACCATATGCAGTGTGAAAACTAAGATTTACACCACAAACTTTAACCTTCACCTTTACTCATATGGGCCAGTAGAAGAACCACTGACATGAGAAACACTTAACACTGAAGAGTTGTTAATTCTTATTCAATGTATAATTTATCCTTTAACCACTTATCAGCTTACATGCCTTTCAGGTGATTGGTTTGTCACACTGGATAACACCCTTCTCTTCATTAAGCAAAGTGCATGTTACTCACCCTATCTTAGCAGCCCTCATCACAGTAAAACTACAGTATATGTGAAATTGACTCCTAACACAAACTATACTATTTACAGTACATTATAATGAATATGATAGAGTTGTCCAGTAAATGTTAAGAGACAAGGCTTACCAATATATATAGACATCTTAAGCTGTCACCTTCACCACTCACCTCACAATACTATAATGATCACTGGAGCTCTCTCATTTACTTACCAGAAAAAGATCATTATTTTGTGTGTAACATCATGACTTCTTACTAACCTTCACAATTTTGACATTAATAATTTATATAAGTTAAGACCTAGCCCTAGTAGTAAATATATAATAATTTAAGAATATGCTGTACAGGTGTAATTACTGTATATCTGATCTCTGCTCACCTGTTAAATTTCCTTAAGATATGATAATGTTATAACTTACTTTTATTATCTGGTGAAACAACTATTAACACTGACGGTCACACATAATATATATACTGTATAACAAATCCTAACGTGCAATTGGGGACTGACCTTTTGTGAACCCAATGGAAAACGCCTGTAGGTATCATCTCTAGTAAAGGGTTTTACGTTGTTGGGAGTGACCCATGCTCGATTTACCGGCACACTGAAGAAGGTCACATTATAGTAAGTCTGTTGATAAAAAGAAAACTTATCATCAGTGCCCAGTGGTGTAGTCAAGATCCAGAACAGAAACAAGACCATATGTAATTTTAAGCCTTTATGGATCAAAAGATTATTGACCCCCCTTCCACCCCCTAAGTGTTCACCTTAAGCCTGAAGTTTAAACACCCCAAAATTATTTGAGGAAGGATAATGGTCTAGTTCGTGGCTCCCAATACATCATGGATCAATGCCATCCAATTTTTTTCTTCAGTTTTATGTCTCTTTCCCTAAATACAGTTTTGTTTACTTATGCTTCACTTGTTATGCTTTCAGTACTGTACCTGCACACCACCTGAACATACCCTCACCATCAACACCTCTCTGCCCAATACAAGTACTGTACTCAACTGTATTTCTCACAGTTACACATCTTATGCATCCAAATTACCACAATATATTACTGTACTGTACTCATCATATCATCATTTGTAAAGTTACTAAGATGCTCTTTCACCTTACACTCAAAAGTCCTTACATCATATCCACAAAATGATGATGGTGATGGTGGCAGTGATGATGATGATGAAGGTGACACTTGATAATGATGATGGTGGCAGTGATGATGATGATGATGATGAAGGTGACACTTGATAATGATGGTGGCAGTAATGATGATGATGATGATGATGAAGGTGACACTTAATAATGTTGGAGGTGACATTGATGATCATGATGTAACAATATTCCCATCTTTGTCTCCTTTGGCAAAATTCTCTCCATAAAACTCACAAATACATATTAATTTCTTGCCTGCTGCTGCTCAGTGGTACAACGAGTGTAGGACAACCCCCCCCACCCCCCTAGGACAAAAACCCCCTTGAATAAACCTAACCTAACCCAATGGGGTTTTATCTGGATCCCGTGGTACAACCCATCATCCACTGTTCCAATATCCTGACACACCCCACACAATCCATTGTCACCTCCCCTTGTACACACACGTAACAATACGGCCATTTCTCCGTTAGCCGGAATCCCTCAAACCCAGAACTCTCCGATAGCTGGAATTTAAATTTTCTCGGAAAATCGTTCCCAGAGCCGGAATTTTCCGGAAAATTCCGGCATCAGGAACGATTTTCTGTGGGGCACATTTTCTGGAAAATTCAAAGAAAATTTTCCCGATACCCGGAAAATTCTAGGGGTGAGGGATTTTTTCTGACTTTGAGAGAGTCGTCTCGTTACCCGGAAATCTCTCATTCCCGGAAGTGATCTGCACCAATTGTTTCGACTTAACGGGGATGTCACTGAATATTTTTTCTCGTCTCCCTTCAGTACTTCCCATCAACAACAACAACAACACCATTTTATGCATGGATTACACCCACAACTTACCGGAGCAGTACCCATGTCATTGAGGTAGACATATTCCTTGTTATCAGGATCAAAGTCAACCATCGCCGGCCACCATGCTGTCCCAACCACTCGTGCCCACACCACTAAAATGGGTAACAGAAATGAGAAGATCTGACTGGTCCTTTACTCCACATGTTTGTACGTATACAGTAGTTATATATCTTAATCCTTACATTATTTCTTTTATACTTTAAATATTATGAAACTAACCATTTATACTGCTAAACCTAACCTAACAAAACCATTTACAGTTCACTTCTAACCTGACCTAACATTTTATACAACTAAACCTAATCTAACCTAACCATTTAGACTAGTAAACCTAACTTAACCATTTACACTGCTGTCAACCAATAGGGGGAAAAAGCAAGGTCCATCAATGTAAAAGTAAAGGTAAAAAAAAAAAAAATCTCCTTAAAATATCTTCAGGACAAACCTAACACCAACCCATCTCTGACTGTACTTGAGGGAGCATTACACTGACCTGAACCCATGACGTACTGGCTGTAAACATACGATTCATTGTACTGTCCCCATTCTTCCTCCGACTCACGACATTTGTTCTTCCTCTTATCTGCAACGAAAGACCGAATATTCAAGCTACTCTTTTATTTCTCAATCTAATTACAGTACAGTGAAATATCTATTTAATAGACTTTATTAGGAGGAGAGTCCATTATATCAAGGGTCCATTATATATGAAACCCCCATTTAATAAACCATACAGAGATAAAAATACAGTAATGCCAAATGCTTGATCAATACAGTAGTTTCAATTAATAAATTATATTATAGTACTGTACTGATTAGGAGGGCTGACTGCATATTGGCCTCATTATCCACATACAGTATTAGAATACAGCACAGAACCCGACAGTCATCAATGGTCATAAAGGATCCGGTTTTATGTATCTGCAAGTCTCCACATCTACCACAGGAGATTTTTAGCACAAAGCAGGGGGCAATTTCTCTAACCTATTATTCCCTGATACCTGTCAACCATGGAAGGGAGAACACTAGAATATAATCCCACAGTTGGTAAGTGTTTAATGGTACATTTTTATGAGGTGATGACATAAAGAACTGAGGAGATTACTTACTGGGATTCATTTTACAAGTCCAAAAATTAGGCAGCGATAAAGGATCCAGGACGTTGGTCAACTTGCGCCATTTCTTACATTCATCGCACTGAGCCCACAAAATCTCATCCACATTCTCCATCAGTTCCTTAACTTTTTCCTGAAGAAAACATCCAAGATACTATTAATTAAGCACCGATATACTGCACTGTATACTCCCGTGACCTGCAGTGTCTATATTCATGCTCAACTGTATAACTTCATAGATTATATACTGTACAGTACATGCCTATCCAACTGTAAACCTGTATGACAATTTTACTGATATATATTACAGGTACGTATTATTATTATTATTATTATTATTATTATTATTATACAAGTGCAGTAGTTACTTCACCTCAGCACAAGTCTAACTTAGTATCTCGTCCTCATAACTGTATAATAAATATCAGGTGTGTATTCACAGTCTGTATTCCAATTATAAAAAATAGTTAAGAAACATTCAGCGGTATAAACAATCATACAAGTTACAGTACAGTATAGTACCTTTACTCTGTCTGTCCCAGGAGATACGTGACAGTTGCCTTTGTCTTCCTCAGGTGATGTTTGTGGAGTACATTCATCGTCTGGTGATGTTTCAAGGCTCTTGGTGTATTTCTTTTGGGATGAGGCTGTCTTACGAGACTCTAAGGGAATCCTGCGCTGTATCCTGCCCTCGTATGTCTTTTCCGAAACAATGGTCTCGGCTAATGCCGCCGGTGAAGAATATTTCACTTTTACTTTAGATGAACTTCGTGACCTGTGAGAAACTGTAGGTGGTAGCGTCTCCTGTCTTGCTGTTTTGGTTGGCGACGATGATAATTTGTGTAATGTGTTCCATCCCTCTGTTACTGGAAGGAATTGGTTAAAGTTAGATCATGGGAAGATGAATTTATGTTAGCGCACACACACACACACACACACACACACACACACACACACACACACACACACACACACACACATTGTTACAACAAGATAACCCAGCCAACCATCTTACACACATCCTCAACACACAATCAAGAGAAAGGCTTCACACGGTGGTCATGATGGCCACTAAGTATAGAGAGTTTTATAAAGATCTCTTGAGAGATGAATGTGATACAGGTACTAGGCTAGAACTCATAAGACATGGGAAAGGTTTAGAGACATTAAAACAGTGATTGAAACTTAAAAAGATTAAATATTAAAAAGTCTCAATGTAGTTATAATACAGATGTTGTTAAAATACTTCCAGTACACTTAGAATAACATGAAATAACAAGACAAAATTTGCTTATCCATACATTTATCTATGGAACACAAATTACATCGTTACTGTAGATCAAAATGGTTCACTTTTTACTCAATGTTTTAAAATATACTTACCTTCAGGAGAATCTAGAGTCTCCTCATCACTATCCACCCCACACCAAGGGACGTCATCAGTGGGATCTTCTGTCACCTGGGTGGGAGCTGGTGGTAGAGAGCCGGTACCCATCTCCCCCTCCTCGCTGCAACAAATGGCAAGTGAACCACAAATAAGAAGTGACAATTCAATACAAAAGCATCATTATTTTATTTCTTTTACTCTAACTTTTTGCTACTCTTACTTAAATATTACTCTTACTTTAATCTTACAGTACTTTACTTTAGTCTAACACATCAATCAATGGTAAAGAAGAATAAGTAAAGTATCATTTATTTTGGGTATTTTTTTCCTTCCCATTCTCTATTCCTCTTCTCCAATCATACAGTACATATAATAAATAAATAAAGGGTTCTTAGTTTCATATATCAATTGTTTAAGTCTGCCAGTTATAAGTCCTATTATGAAACTATATTTAGGATGGACTCTAGGGATCACCTGAAGATTAGCCCCCTCCCCCCCACCTTATTATTTCACCTGAAGATTAAACACCCAAATATTACCTGGAGGGCTTAGGTTAGGTCAGGTTCTATTGTATTAGATTATGTTAGGTTAAGTTGGGTAAGGTTAATTGAGGTTAATATCAAGCCAAGCTATTTGTGTGTGTGTGTGTGTGTGAAGAGGTTACACTAGGCTACAGTCAATGGTTGTACAGCACAGTGTAACAAGAAACTCATTAATAACATCATCTGTTTCTCATACTCACGCATCTTCAACCTCTACACGGGGAGTTGATGACTGCTGCTGTGGAGGTTCTTTCAACAATGTTTGCTGTGGATGTTCCTGCAATGATGGCTGTTGCTGCATAGGTTCTTGCAATGATGGCTGGTATAGAGGTTCCTGCAATGATGACTGTTGCTGCGTAGGTTCTTGCAATGATGGCTGGTGTAGAGGTTCCTGCAATAAGAATAGGTAATGAGGAATGAGCTTGTGAAATTTCTTTGATGACCAGTTATGCATATGAATTTAACTAACTCAAATAGAACATCATTGAGTGACTTTTTAACAATTATAACTGCAGGCAATTATAAACAGGTGAATATAATGTTGAAATTGAAGTGTTGACTTATTATGATAGAGGAGGAGCTGTATCGGGTGTCAGAGAGAGACAAATCTTCTCAGTGAAAACTACCCCAAATAATTATATACAATACCATATACAGTACAGCTCCTCCCCGACTTACGACGGGGTTAGGGACCCAAATCCAGGTTGACAGTCGGAATGATTGTAAGTCGGAAATGCAAAAAATAATACATACAAAATCTAAAATGAAATACAGTACAGTAAAAGTAATCAATAATGAAGAATGGATACAGTGTTACTGTGCACTTACCTTTAATGTAGTCAGCTGAATGCACACGGGGCCCCAATAAATTTCTATTTACAGGTATACATGGAGACTATATTAATTGGATGAAGCAGAGGAGGAGACAGGGCTGGGTGGGTCATCAATGTCGCTTTCTTCAGACAGGTTTATGTACAGGGGAAACTTGCTGGTTGAAGGTATTGGATCATCTTTAGGGAGTGAAGAGGCAGCAATGGGGGACTTCTTAAAATAGATGTCCAATTTAGACTACACAGTTTGCTTTTTCTTTTCATTATAAATTTCCCTGTAGCAAGCAAGTGCATCTTGGACCATTCTGTCAACTTTGGCAAAACGCTCAACATTTCGATCCATTCCATCAAACATTTGCATCCCCTTATTAATTGTAGCAAATGCCTCTGCCATTTGTTTCACTGAAAATATTTGGGGGGTGCAGGTTCTTCTACATTTCGACTCTCTTCTTCCTCTGCATTTTTCTGTGCTTCCAGTTCGATAAGATCCTCGTTACTTAGCGCTTCTGCTACACTTTCAACCAACTGTTCAACATCATTATCAATTTCTAACTGAAGCTGTTTACCCAACTTCACAATCTTGTTACTAATCTCAGAAATAACTTCATTTTCATTAAATCCTCTGAAACTGTTCACATATCTTTTCAGTATTTTATTCCATATTCCATTCATGCACTGTTCTGTAACCTCATCCCATGCTGCAATAATGTTCTTTATACATGTCAGAATGTTGTACTCCTTCCAAAACTCTGAGCGTTTTCTCACCTTCAGTAGCAGCAACAGCCCGAGCGAAGGTCGTACGTAAATAATTAGTTTTAAAAGCTGCAATAGTACCTTGTTCCATGGGTTGCATGACAGAGGTAGTTTTAGGTGGAATGTAGACTACCTTAACAGCAGGTTGCATGTCGTCCAGGTGTGGTGGGTGTCCCGGAGCATTATCCAAAATTAGCAAAATTTTTAATGCAATCCCTTGTTGCAGACAATACTACTTAGCTAAAGGAATGAAACAATTCATGAACCAATCCTCAAACAGTACTAGGGTCATCCAGGCTTTCTTGTTACTGCGATAAAACACTGGCAGTGTTTGCTTGCTGACATGTTTAAAAGCCCTGGGGTTCTCTGAATGATAGATCATGAAGGGCTTTAGCTTGAAACCAGCAACATTCCCCCCCAACAGAAGTGTAATGCCTTGAATCCTGGCATTGTTTTCGCCTCTTTGTGGATGTATGTCTGTTCAGGCATACGCTTCCATAATAAGCCAGTTTCAACCACATTGAATATTTGCTCAGGCAAATAATTTCCTTCCACGATCACATGATCTAGCTCCTCCTTAAAGCTTCGGCAGCAACAACATCATCACTAGCTGCCTCTCCACTCACCGTAACATTATGTAAACTGTAGCAGTTCTTAAATCTGTTAAACCACCCATGACTTGCTGTTAAGGTTTGCTTGCACTCATCTCCTGCCTGCTCTTTCAGGCTTTCGAAAAGGCTTCTTGCCTTAGCCTGTAAGGTTAGAAGGCTTAAGGGTACAAGCTTCTGCATCTGGTCTTCCATCCATATCACAAGTAATTTTTCCATCTCGTGAATGGGACCTTGTCTTTTCTTCGTTATTATAGTTCCATTTATAGGTGCTGATCCTTTCACTACATCACGAATACCTTCCTTGTCCTTTAGAATAGTGGATATGGTCGACTGCGAAAACCCTAGGTCGCGTGAAATTGTTGCTACAGTTTTTACATTTTCATGCTGCATTATTATCTTCATTTTCGTCTCAAAAGTAATTGACTGTCTCCTTTTCTTCTGAGCACCACCAGCACTCTCACTTGTACGCTTTCCAGTCATTCTAAAGTCAATTAAATACGAAAATAATGTCAGTACACAGCACGATCAGTTGCGGATACAACGACAGCCAAACACCAACTAAGCGCTCCACGCGGTGACCCCAGCCATGCAACGACGCTCTCGTACGGGATGGAAACGTTTCGGTATAGAAAATATGCGTCATTTGAAAAAAATTTTGGTTCCAACTGCGCGGTCGTATGTGCGGATTGTCGTTAAGGACTGAGCAGGTGGTCATCGTGGGGTAGGTCGTAAGTCGGGGAGGAGCTGTAGTATGAGATTACTGTACTGTATCTGGATAAGGATACAGTATAATTCAACTGTATTAATATAGATTGTACTGTATTCATGATCTATAGTAATCAGAGACGTGACCGATCGCCCAAGCGGCTAACAAGTCAATCAGTGGCGAAGAGGATAAAAGTAAAAGTAAAAGTTGAGTGACCTGCAGAGATTCAGTCCAAAGTGACATTAGGGCAACCACAATTTGAGTTCATGAGGATATTATGCCAGGAAATAATCATGGTTATTGTATCTTATATTTCACTTTGGAACATCTTCAACCTCTGGTGTGAGTGACATAATTTAGTCTAGAATTATTTAATATGCCAATCTTTCTATATATTACAATCAAATACCTGTAAAATAAGAACAATTATTCCAAATAGAAACTACACTAACCTGAACACCATTATCCACTACCTGGTCAGTGTTAATGACGTTACTGAAAATTCTCTCCCAGTCAGCCTCTGATGTGGAGGAAGAGGTGACAGTCTTGGACCTTTTCTCTGCAGGTTGAGACACATCCTTTGTGGACTTTCTCTTCGCCGATGTTGACTTTTTTGAAGAGTTAAGTGTGGTGGGGACCTTCTTAGCCTTATCTTTGTTCAAATTACCAAACTTTGACTGAGACTGTGAGTTATCAGTAGTACACAAAGGCTTCTTCTTAGTTATAGTGCCAGGGTTAACAAGACCTCTATCACTCTTCTCATGTAACCTTGAAGAAGTTTTATCACTGTTAAGAGAATTATCTCCAACATCATCTCCGTGGCCTCCTTTATCTGAGTCACAATGGATGCCATCATCCGCTGCTTCAACTTTAATAGGACTTATTTTCGAGGATGTTTCTACAGGTTTGGAGGGTTTCTGTGTAGCAATTTTGGGAGGCGAAACTTTTTTCTGCATCAGTGGTCCAAGTCCGAACTTCTTCGGAGGGGGTTCCTGCTCACTGGTGGTGCGACCCTAAAGAACAGTTAAGAATATATATATTATACTGTACGTACTTCAATATGACGTAAAATATACACGACTTAATCCCCTACAATACTTGCTACAGCAGAATCTCTGGACAAATAAATCCTAACCAGGCACCTACAACTTCCTTAAACATAATGAATATTATTTGTAAAAACTTTTAAGAGAAGAACTACATTAAAGTGTGAAGGACTTACCTCACTACTGGCTACATAGGCTGAAGGTTCACATACCTGAGAAATTTCTCTCTTGATTGCCTTGGGTTTGACCAATGACTGGGATGTTTGTACACTATTTTGGCCAAAGTTTGGTTTCAACGGTGTGGTTTTATTCATAAATGACAGAGTGGTTGATGCTGGTGTTCTGTGAGAAGTTATAATACTTTTACCATTTAGTGATTCAGTGCTGGTACTGTGAACAACAGCAGCTGGCTTAGTTGAAGAAGATGGAGCCTTGTTCACAGAGACTGGCTTAAAAGCAGAAAATAATGAGGGTTTAAAGGTAGATTGGGTCTGTCCAGTTGATGAAGGGATGGTCTTGGAGGAGGATGGTGTCATACTGTTGCTTTTGTTCTGAATTACACCAATTTTAACTTGTTTAGCACGCGGGACACCAAACACAGGAACTTTCTTAACCGGAGCAGAAGAAAATGTAGGCACCTGTCTTGTTGGGATGTTATCACTGTCTGGTGTTGCCTTTGTCTCACTGGTGCTCTCTTCTGTCTGCCGGTGTAAATGTGACATTGGTCGTGTGTCTTCGTGCATACTCGCTTGTTGGAAAATGGAAGGAGGTCTTTTAGTAATACTTGCAGCTGCCACAAATTGGGGAGACACATCTGGCTTACTCGCTCTCTGTAAGAATGAGTTAACGAAGTCCCTAGCTGGAGGGACATTATCACGCGACGAACACTCGCCAACATGCTTGACACTTGCTCTCTGGAAAGGTCTGTCAATAAGCTTAGCTCTCTCCCATGCATTTAAATGACCTTTCTCTTTCTGTTGATTGGCTCCCTCTAATCTTCCAAGCTGATTGGAAGATTCAAGCTGGGAGTGTTCTCTGTCCATCTTGAAAGCTTACCTTGATATTACCAACAATTAGCTACCTGAAATAATAACACTATATTAACCTTACATTATGATGCATAAAACTACAGGTATGGATAATTACTGTATATATACAATGTGTTGGACAAAAGTTACCTGGAGAGTTCAGGTTTGGCTAGGATCAGGTTTAGGTTTGGTTAAGTTAGGCTAGGCTAGGTTTAGGTTAAGAGAAGATTAGATTAAGTTAGGTTTGGATTAGGTTAGGATTAGATTAAGTTAGGGTAGGTATAGTTAAGGGTGGTTAATCTTCAGGTGATATATGCTTTCGAGGGGGGGGGGCGAATCTTCAGGTGAACCTAACTGAATAATTAACTCAGATGGTTGGTTGATTGATTGATTGGCTGGGTGATTGCTTGACTGATTTATTAACTGACTGAATGATTACTTGATTGACTGAATGACTGACTGTTAGAAGTTAAAGGATAAAACCGATAATAAAACGTAAGAACAGAATGAATGAAGATCACATGTTTGTCCATATTTCATCTTATTTTTACGTACCTGCGGGGAAATGGCATAAATAGGAAACACATAGAAGAAAAAATAATATATCAAGAGAATTAAGAGAGAATAAATAACAATAAATCAAATAATGAGAATATAATTTTAACCATTAGACGGGCCTCTCAAATATATAACAGTATATTAATGTGCTTACAAAGCTCAAAATACTATAATATCTACCATTTATCCTCTAAATATATATAATACATTATAGTTAATTTATAGCTTAATTACAACGCCTGGATTTATTTGAGGATATTAAATTTCCTTCACCCAACTTTCTATCGCCTAACACCTACCTGGCCTTATATTCCTATTTCCCTCTCTATTATCCTAAAAATAGCATCATCCTAATAGAAAGTGTAATTACGGCCATAATCATCGATAAATGGGAAGAACAAATTACTTTACCTCACTTGGTAGTCTCAACTCCCTTCCCTCCAAGTCACTCAAGTTCAAAATTGCACAAAATGAATTCATAAAACTATATGATCCTGTATTATTTATCTGTATAATTTGTTTATAATATCAGGGTTTTTTTTGTATTTTCATTCATTTTGGTAGTTATTAATTAACTTTATAAATATAAAATTTTCAAAAAGGTTTTAATGTAATTTTGGCGGGATTTGTAAACAGCTAAAATAATTTAGGAGGAATATTTGTTTAACTCCATTATAATCCAATTAATTATTCCTCCAGCATCCATTTCCGGATAAAAACTACATATATCATAACAACCATTCTTCTGACCTATCCTAAAGCTGCCAGAGATCTTTCTGTAGTAATTCGTAGTTCCCGCAACACAAGGTTGTATGATGGGTTCCTGTTGGCCTAGCACAGAATATGCAAATTGTTTAGATATACTTGTCCGTGTAACTTTAATATAATGTATAAATACACAATGCATTGAACCGATATATACAGTATACAATACTGTTAATATACTGTATATCATTGGAAAAGGTGTAGCAGTTAAAAGTGAAGTCTAGGTAAAAATGAAGTGTTTTCCCAACACATCGTCCGGCAGTGGCACCCCCGACAGAGTGCTCCAAGACCCCGTGGTGAGCGGACCTGGGAAGTGGCGAGTGATAGTAGCATTATATTCCACTTTCATGCGTTTGGTGTGAAAATGCAGTGGAACTGAAATACAGTTAATTTAGTTTTTAAATTTTAATTTACTGGTAAGCATAAGTCCATCAGTTTTTTTATTAGTGAAAGTTAAATAGTAAATTCGATGATGTGCATAATAAACCTGGTAGAGGTGTGGTTATATTAGTGAGGCATTCTCTTGTGTATCGTGTAGCCAATGTAAATTTCTTTAATGATCATTTGTATGATAAAGCAGTATGGTGCGAGATCATTATGAAAAGGAAAAATATACTAATTGGTGCAGTGCTAGGGCTCCTATTACAAGTCGTGAGAAGAATCTTTTATTGAATTTCCTCACCAAGTTGTTTCCTTTCCTCGTAGATGTAATGTTAAATCTCCGTGTTTTGCTCTACTAAGATACGATTCCTGTTGTAAATATGTCTTCTCGTGGAGGTTTAAACAATCCAAACGTATTCTGCTCCTTATGTGGGAGCTTTGTTGTGCATAAGCAACGACAAGAAATAATCGCATTCGTGAAAAATGCATATTTTGCCTACTTTGGAGTTAAAATAGGTGATATAGATAAACCATGGGCACTACATGAAGTATGTTGCACGTGTGTTGATGGTTTAAGACTGTGGAAATATGGTAAGAAAAAAGTTAGCAAGTACTGGGCATGCACCAGCTCCTGAATGTACCTGAACCTGCTCCAGTGTTGGTCTAGTCTGGTCTTGAAAGAGCTCACACTCGGTGCCGTCACAACACTTTCTGGTAGATTGTTCCAAGAGTTTACAACTCACTCCGAAAATGTTTGCCCTCACAGTTTTCTGGACTTGCGGCTTCTTCAATCTTGAGCTGTGACCCCTTGTGGGGAGAGCGTCCGCCAGCTCCAAGTAAGGACACTCAACTGAGTAGTGCCCCCTGAGATGCTTATACACCTCAACTAGGTCACCCCTTGCCCGTCTGTAGTATAAGCTAGGCAAGTTCAGGCGCTCCAATCTCTCACGGTAGCTGAAGTGCCGAAGTGCAGGCACCAGTCTGCTGGCCCTCCTTTGAGCATTTTCAACCAACTGACAGTCCCTAGCATATCTCGGGGACCAGACGGGGTGACAGTACTCCAGATGCCCTCAACTTGGCTGTTGTTAAGTCCATCCAGGTCACCAGTATCAGGAAACGTGCAATATGCCTTGGAGGCGGCTGTCCTGGAGACCCAACCTGAATCAAGGAAACAAGCTGAAAATCTCTGCCATACACATTGGGTGCAACGCCTAGATGCCCTAGAAACCTTTGTGGAGTTACATCCCTCGGTGGTGGCCAGTGTGGAGGGTGGTCCTGGCAGCTGGTCTACAGTCTCACTGACTGATGCCCAGGCCCTGCTGCTCGTCATCACCAGAACAGACTTTATTGTGTCCTTGGTGATCACCAACAATGCATTTGGCTACCTGAAAGGTGTGACCACTAGCCTTCAAGTACAGGCCAAGGACATAGTTGAGGCCAGCAGTAAAATCAACTGTGAAAGCAGCACTACAAGATGTCCAAAACAACATGGATGATCACTTTCCTGAATGGTTTTGTCAGGCAGAAGAACTGTGTGAGGCTGTAGGTGTCACACCTTCCATGCCCAGACTCTGTCAACACCAACAACACCAAGACAACACATCAGCTGATGGACCTGGCTCTTCAAAAATACAATCTCTGGTTACTGCACAAAAGAGAGTTGTACGGACAATGACCTAATTGAAAAAAAACAGATCACACAAACGAAAAATTTGCTATATTTAAATTTTTAAAATTCGAGGATATTAACACTTACACTGCTGTGCCCTCTTTGTTTACAAATCTATCAATCACTTGCTTGACAATAATTACTTCCAGTTCCAGAATAATCAGAGATACAACATAAGGCACCCAGAGCTACTAAGACCACCCCCCATGTGCTCCTCTCAGTCCCAGACCCCCATAAAATATCACGGTGTGAAGGTGTGGAACAACTTACCCCCACCCATCCAAGCAAAAACTACACTACCTTCCTTTAAATCATCTCTTAAAAATATATCTATTGTCGAAGTGTTAATACTACTTGTAACACTTACTATATTTACAGTACCTGCTTTTATTGTACCATCAAAACCGTTTTATCGGAAATTATCATGTAAATAAATAAGTAATTACCATTGCAATAAACATAATTGCCAACTAGACATAATCCTGAAAGCTCTGTCCTCTTCAACCTTATTACTGTACAACCCAGGTTGTACTGCTCCCCCATTATACTTATGTTTTTAAATTCCACTCTAATTTATTTATATATATATATATATATATATATATATATATATATATATATATATATATATATATATATATATATATATATATATATATATATATATATATAAATAATAATAAATAAATAAATATTGAAGTGATAACCGTAGTAACATTGTGAGATGTACTTATTACCACCATGCTATGTGTCCTATTCCAGATACTAAATGTTACACAATACTTCCTTGAGATAAATGTATAGTATATATTAGGTGCCCCAAAGAGAGCTCAGGTTCTCAACTGGCTCAGCCATGTTAATATTATTATTATCCACTCTGTATCTGTGTTTTTCTGGCTAAATAAACTTTCAATTCAATTCAATGGACCAGCTGAATACTACAGGAGAACGGTGGCCAGTCCACTACTAGCAGAGCTGGAGATGAGGTTCACCCCGCCTGCACCAGAAGGCCTTGCAGAGACTCCGTGTCATCCCATCCATCTTGGTAACCCTGACACCAACAGAAGAATACAAGAGCTGGTTGACTTCTACCGGGAGGACCTTGCAGTATCAAGAGGTGAGAGCAGTTATATTTTTTCTATCAGACCAGTAAATAATCCTCCACTCACTCACGCAGCTGTACCATAAACCACTTAGTGTCATGTTCTATCATTCTTCACACCATAACTTCCTTTCCTCTTCACTCTCATCAACCATCTCTTGTGTTTTGTTATGACAAATCTACAATAAGACAAAAGATTTATTAGAGAAAGTCAAGGAGAAATAAAATAACCACTTCTAACAATTTTGTTTATCAGTAATGCAAACATTGACAAAATCCAATTCTCAGTAGTCAGCAACACTGAATTCAGCCAGTTCAAAAAACAAAAGATGTATCTTGTTGAGAAAATATACTTCAATAAATTTATGTTGTTAATGCAATGAGAAAAACATGAAGATTTCAGTCACATATACTGTATATTGGCTGTACAGACGTAAAGTTACAAGATGTTGACATGCAGTGAAACTCGCAAGAGAACATTAAAGCGTCTTAGTTCACGTCATATAATACAATCTTGTCACGGTGAACATATATGTATGTGAATGTTGTTATCTTACATATTGTGGTGATGTATTGACTTATGGACCATATTTGAGGAAAATGGTTAAAACAGTAGAGTACAATTAAGTAACGAGAGACATGCTTATGGTTTGTATGGGGCGGGGTATTGCGAGACCCCAACTTAACCATTAGTTATAAGACTGTGTAGGTCTGGGTTTCAATACAGTTTATGCCTCTTAGGACTTAGCCCCATTTGGCTAACTCCCAAATACTGTATACAAACACTAAGTAACAAGACTGGTGAGCGAGTCGAGGAAACAAACAATATTCATGTCATGATCTTATTTTTTTACATGAATTTCTAGCAAACATATTTTAATCATTTCACTGCATTTTTTCCTTTCCATTTTTTCTTGACAATCTCATCAAGTTTACCAATATTCTGATGATTGAATGGTGTTTGAAGGAGATATGCAAGAAAATTGTGCACAGTCTGTTCACTCCAACACTGCAACTGAGGTCTAGTGTCAGTTTGTAACAAGGAAGCGGATTGGTTGACAGATGGACATGCAAAGAGTCACTACGGTTCTTCAGTATTTAATCTATCATGTTAATATTCTGATATTTTAAGGAATAATAACTTTTTAGTGTTGATCTCTGATAATTTCCGCATTTGAAGGAGCAAAAATTAACACAGGAATTGCTCTGGTAACATAAATATCTTGAAGAGAACAAGAAAGAGATTACAAAATTTCAGTGACATCCTCTACTGCACTGTGTGATGTCACACAGCAAGGAGAAGTTTACGTCTTGGAACTTGTTCATCATGTTCATGTTCTCTTGATGTTATTTAGGTTACCAGAACATTTACTATGTTAATTTTTGCTTCCCCAAGCACAGAAATTTTCACAGATCAACACAGAAAAGTTATTATCCCTTAAATTATCAAAATATTAATACAATAGATTAAATACTGAAGAACTGTAGTGACTCTTCGCGTGTCCATTCACCAACCAATCAGCTGCCGTATTACAAACTGACCCTAGACCCCAGGTGCATGGTTGGAGTGAACAGACTACTGTATAGTATTTATACATCAAAATGGCCTGCCTGCAGTACTCCTCAGAAGGGAGGCAGAAGAAGTTTGTCTGACTGTCAGAGAATTGTATTACAAGGGTACAGTAATGGAAGCTGAAGAGACAGAGGTATAATGTTACAAATAGTTTACACAATTTGACAAATACAAGTACAGCAAGTCTTAGGATTTCTGTAACTTCAGCATATGAGAATTAAAATCGGTAAAGATCTTACCAGCAAATACCAAGACCTAAAATTTGCATTGTGAAATTGTTTAAAATACAAATTTCCTTTTAAATTTCACCATTATTCTAAATCACTACAAACTTCATCACTAAAAAGAAAAAAATGCTTGCTGATATATTATGGTACACTGTCATTGTTCATTTAATCAACATCACTGATCATGAACTTGAAAAATTTTCTTTAACATCACCAAACATGAAATAAACTTGCAGATACACATATGGTTATAGCAACAACAGTGCACCTTTTATGCAACATCATCAACAACGTTTTACAGCCAGGCTTTCTTCAGCTAAAAAACAAAGGTCACAGAGATTACAACTCCAAATTTGCCATCATGTACTGTGTTGAACTGATGGTGTTGACTCCCAGTGCCTCCTGCCTCAGTTACTATAACTACATGCAAAGTGAGGAACAGTTTTATGTCTTATGGTGTCACTGGTAACTTCAAACTAAATATTTAGGTAGGAAACATGACACTTTGCTCTGACAACCAAATTATAGTAAATACTGAAACTTTGTCTCTAGTGATAAACAGTTTCTTTATGTCAACGAATAAACAGTTTTATCTTACCGGTAACTTATAATATTCTACACATTGCAGTATTGACTGGACCAATGCCCAAACAACCAAGACAGTCAAACCTCAACAACATTAATATTTGAATCAGTAAAATACTGTTTACTTCTGTCAAATAAGTTACATCATAGGCAGGTATAGCCCTACAGCACTGAGCTATAAGGCGAGAGAACTTGATTCTTTTAGACTTTCAAACGTTCTGTCTATTAACAAGATGTTCTAAATACAATTTTATTGTGCATTACATTACTTCCTGAATTACTAAAATGTCATTTCATTCCAATAAGGTTTTCCTAACAATAAAAACATTATTGTATATGACCAGACATTATATATATACTGTTTGTGTGTTAAACACTGTATTTGTGTATTTGTGTTAAACACTATGTGACCAGACATATTATATATATATACTGTATGTGTGTGTTTATGTCAAACCCTGCTTATACATGGGTACTGTATGTGTGCTTGTTACACTTAAAAATACAACTTTACACAAAATTAAATAGTTAACAACAAAGCCTTTCTACAATCATCACAGCATATATATACACAGCCATTATATATATATATATATATATAGAAATAAATACTATTTGTTACAAAAAAAATCTTACAGCACAACCTATACCAAAGTTAAGTGAAAATATATGCAAATGAAAAAATGCTGAGTACAAGAGCAGTCAATCAGTACTCCTCACATATATTCTCGATATACAATAAACTCTTAAATTTCCACATCAGAGTAAAAAAAATATTACACATCATGTAATAATAATAATAATCAGATAAAACAGTATACCTGTGGAAGCAAAACATCTTGATAAACTGAGGAAGAGAATAACACAAATGAGAGAGGTATTGCAGTAATTATCTATATATAACGGTAACTGCAGTAATTACACTCGCTCTTAAAATAATTCAAGTGGAATATTTGGCAATACAATATAATGCTTTACTATATCACTATACTATATATACAGTACAGCAGCTCTCGCACACCATTAATTATTTAACAAATGCATCGCTATAGTGTATACTGTATACAACCAACATGTTTATGGAGTATAGTGTACGATGGTTAGTTAGTTCATAGTTGTCATCTACACCCGCACGTTCTCCGAGGTCAATGTGTTCTCCTATACCCACACAGTCTTCCTATACCCACATATGTCCTCCTAGGTTCACACATCCTCCTACACAAGCAACTTTCTCTCTACAATCTGAAGTCATAAAACTGTACTTCCAGTAATAGTTTAGATAAGATAAAAACAAAAGATTCCTAGTCACAGTACAGTAAAGGGTATTCCATTCAAACCCACTCAGAAAACAGAATGGTACAGTACTTCTATAATGTTAAAATAAACCTCTGTACATCATACTACAGTCATTACAAATAACTATAAATAAACTATTAATAATTAACAACTACTCCCTCTTCTCGCTGTGTCATTGACTGTGCTTCGCTTGTTGTTCGGTGTCGCTAATCTCGCTCGACTCCAGGGAACTGTCCTTATTATCACAGTGTTCCTGTTTTTCGTTCGTTCTCTTGGATTCTTCGCTGTGGGTGTTACCGACGGTCGAATCTTTGTATGTGCTGCTCGGCGAGGCAGAAGTTGAGGAGCCCGTCAGCTTACTTTCAACTATGGTAGTCTTAAGAGCGTGCTGTATGAGCTTGGCAGACTCGAGTTGCTCCTCCTTGGCCATCATCTCGGTGACATCCTCGAACAACTTGGGGGACACGCCCATTCCTTCGTCCAGCATGAGGTGCAAAACGTGCAGGACGTGGTCCACCTCAACGGCTCCATCCTTGTCGAAGTCCATCTTGGTCAACACGTCACTAATCATGGAGACCTTGGACGTGTCGGGGGCGTGGTAAATGTAGGACAAGTGACGAGTTAACTCCTCCAGGTTCACTAAGTCGGCCCTGTGGTATAGGAAGGTAGTTGTCAAGCTTCACACTTGAATAGTACAACTAAACAGTAAAACATTTATTTAATGGACTATATGGAAAGGAAAGTCCATTATAATGAAGGTCCATTAAATGTGAAACCTCCATCTAATGAACTGTATAGAGATAGAAGTCATGGATCCATTAAATGTGAAAACCCTCCATGTAATGGATTATACGGTGATATGGAGGTTTCTCAGTAGTGTTAAAGAATTAAATACTTAAAACAACCAAAATGTTGACACAAATAAGCTCTGAAATATATTAGAAATGGAAAAGTGAAATTGTGTGGGTAGTGTGATGTAATAAACTTTATGTAACAAATTTTATGAAACATATTTTATGTAACAAATTACTATTTTATTGTCCCTTTAATTCTTTATGTTTATTTACTTATTCTTTCTCGTTATACTCGTGAGAGGTGGAGCGAGTGAGGGAGGTAGTGAGAGGTAATTGTTTATGTACGAGGAGAGGAGAGAACACAGCTAACAGCTGGTTTGTGGTCAGGTTACACCAAGAGGAGAAGCTAGGGGTTGATAGCTGAGGACTAAGATACAATACTTTACAGAGGGGAAATGTAGGATAGTTATTATATATAAGACTCACCGTATTACTGCACAATACCAAAACAATTATAACACAACAATCTTTCTCAAGAATGAATTAGGACTCTTATTAACGGTTACTGTGTTTATTGAATACTTTATATTAGGGTTTAACAGTTACACTTCAAAACAATAAACCTCTGCTCCTAGCAAGTTAAACGGGGACCACGTATCTCTCAACACATGGGACCTTAAGGATTTACCAAATAGAATACACCCAAATACCTGCCATGTCGCCACCACAGACAACCCACACCTCCCTACACAAAATTCCAACACAGACTCCGCTTTTCAAACTGCGTCAGCCCACAAGGGACGCCTCAACTTTCACGACGTCACACCTCATATCATTGGTCGAAGACAGGCCTAAGGCCTTCATACTATAGTGTTGGCTCGAAATTAGCAGGAACTTTCAGGTGGCGAGAAACTAATGACATTGTTACAGTGATACAAGGACATACCAGATTAACTCTAATGTGTTTTAAATAACTCAAAATATAATAGGGTGTGTGTGTGACTCTACCTTCACTATCCTTAAAACACACAATGGACAAAACAAAGCAGCCATAAGACAGTATATACTCATTCAGTGTGGCAACAGTTTAAACACTAGAATCTATGCCTAATGATTAGATTATGTTGGTGCTTATTAGAACCATGAAACCCATTTAACTAGTACAGTGAAACCTCTATTTAATGGACTATATAGAGATGAAAGTCCATTATATCGAGGGTCCATTAGATGTGAAAACCTCCATCTAATAGATTATGTAGACAGAAAAGTCCATTATATGGCTGTTTCACTGTTAACTGCATTATACAATGGGTCAATAAGTTGTGTGCGTGTGATCATCCCCGATAGAATATGATCGTTTCTTGAACCAGACCTACTCCAGTGATGGGAGACCAGTAAGCATCCTGTGGTACAATACCTCTTGATTTAGGGGAGGGCCTTGTACTGTAGTGTCAATGGGAGGAACATAACAGAACATAATCGACAACGGGATAAACAAATGAATGACATGAGAAAGAAAGACACACACACACACACACACACACACACACACACACACACACACACAACAACTTCCTCACTTGTCTTGTGCTTTAGCTTCTCCAGCATCCACAATCTTCTGCCTGTACTCCTTCTCCTTGCCCAGACTGTCTAACACGGGCTCCAGTCTGTTGATCATCTTGTTGACGCGGATGAAGAGGCGTTTGGCGGCTTTACTCTCCCGTAATTCCTTCTTGTTCATGTCTGCTTCGATCAAGGCCTGAAAATATATACGCATCAGGTGTCTGGTTTGATAAAATTCCTAAAATAAAAACTTTACAATGGAACTTTTTAATTATTTTCTCCAACCACTAGAGATAAAATTCATAATAAAATTCCTTACAACGGAACTTTTAAAATATTTCTTCAACTAATATATAAGAAAAGACTGCCTAGGAGGTAACTGAACGTAGAAGCAACATGAAATATATAATACATCTATCCTATTTAAAATCAATATATTTTTTCCACCCAATATTTGGTATACAATATTATCTACAGCTCCCAAGATGCAAAACAATCCTCCATCATCACACTATCATCCTGTTTCCCATCAAACCTCTCCTGCATTCTCTCTCAAATTTAAACAGGTATATACAGTACAGTATATTATAGTACAGTATAGTACAGTACAGTACAGTTCAGTACAGTAAGACATAGTACTAGTACAGTAGAGTAAAATACAGTTCAGTACAGTTAAGTACAGTACAGTACAGTAAGATATAGTACTAGTACAGTAGAGTACAGTACTAGTACAGTTCAGTACAGTAAAGTACAGTACAGGAAAGTACAGTAAAGTAAAGTACAGTACAGTACAGTAAAGTACAGTACAGTAAAGTAAAGTACAGTACAGTAAAGTAAAGTACAGTGGAGTAGAGTACAGTACTCTATCATACTACAACTATTGTCTGTGTATTTATAGATACTCATAAGTCCTGTTATACATCACTAAACACACACAATTCTCCATTCAACTAAACCCCACATCTCGGCCTCACTTTATTGAACACGACAATGAGTGGTTACATTCACCTTCAATCCTTTCACGAAGGTCAAGAATGCTGAAACTCATATCAAGCATCAAGTATAAAAAAGCATGCTAATACCTGTATACAGTTGTACCCCGCTTAACGCGGTCAATTGAACCCACAGGGTACCGCGTTAAGTGAACAACAGAACATATGGGATTAATTCCAATAGACTGACCCAACCCCCAAACTCCACTTTTTGACGACACACAACTATGTTGTAGTAAAAATATAATCTTAACTTTATGATGGTATGCACACACAATTAATAATTAAGAGAAATATCAATAATATTAGGTTTTTTAACACTTACATTAGCAGAAAAGATGGCTGGGCACACGGGGATGGGGGGTTGGTTCCGAGGCAGAGGGCAGATTATTGGCCCTCACCTGTATCACTTGTATCAATTGTATCACCATCCACCACAGAAGCTTGCAGGGCCTCTTTGTCAAACACCTCAAAGTCCATACAAGTCCATATCCTCACTATAATTATCACTATCACTGACTTGGGCCGGCTGTGGTGGGTGGTGGGTGAAGAACTCGGTAATGTTTTGATGACTGGGCGACCTGGCGACCTTGTTCGCATCGTGCCCGCGCCGCTTCCCGCGTATATGAGTAGATGAACCGTGTTAAGTGAAAGTTCGGTTCTGGCGAGGCACCGCGTATATGAGAAATCGCGTTAAGTGAAACCGCGTTAAGCGGGGTACAACTGTATATATATATATATATATATAAATTTAAATACATTCATCACTGCAAAATGCTTATACTCCTCTTAATATAAATTCCTTCATTAAGTGCATGCTAAAGCTCTCTATCTATACAAAGAACACGGCGGACAATAAGTAATAAACATACGGCAGTGTTGTCCCGAGAGTCTTTGGATACTTCCCCCCATAACACAATATATGTAGTACTGTACCATGATGAGTAAAACATCTACCTACTACAACCATACTGACCACAAACTTCCTCAGTTTGCTAAACAAATAAATAATCTAGTGGCACAAGAGCGGTTCAAAATGTAGGGTAACGAGGTTCAGATATTATGTTCGCGATGGGACATTTTGATTTTTTCAGATATCCGAAAGTCTAGAGTTATTCTTCCTTAGTGGCACTGTGGCCTCGTGCATGCTACAAGTGCACCATAACAGCATCTGGCACAAAAACACAGTGATGGGTGTAGCTGCAGATTTAAGCTGTGCACAGTAGAGGGAAAAAGCTGGGATACACAGTTACACAAGCAAGAGAGGTTTTGATTGTTGGAGGACCAGCGTGTCATCCTTGTTTATGATATAACCCTCACCTCATGCACAACCAAGTCACTAACTACTGGACAGAATCACCATAACAAGTAGCAATGTGGAATATATATAAATTCCCTACATTCATCTCACTACAAATAAACTAAACAAATTACCACATTTTCCTGTATGACAGTTGAGAGAGAGAAAGAAAGGTGTGTATATATATGAATTCTTCTACAGTATTCAACCTACTTCTACATCTCTTAAGTCAGTGTTCAACTTGTTATCTCCTAACAATGAGCTGTGCGGTAATATCCCAGGAAGCCGGAATCTTCGATCCCCAGATTTTCCAATACCCGGAAAATAAAATAAAAATTCAGAGAAATTCCAAAAACAGCTCTCAGTTTCGGGCATTCAAAATAAACTTTTGATAGACTGCATCATGTGCCGAGTGCATGGGTGTGCTAGCTGCATGGAGAACTTAGGTCATAAGCTCAGATTGCTGCCACTGTACAAGCTTGTTTGCTCACTCACTACTGTTTTCTCATATGATCTGCACTGTGCAGTACTGTACCAGGACACAACCTGCCAAGAATACTGTTAAAGCAGTGTTAAGAAGAAGTAAACAGTGATTACTGACTGTACAGTTATGTGTCCTGTACATTAAGTGCAAAAGTACCATACATACAGTACAAAGCAGAATGAACGGTGTATGCCTATTATAGTAGAGGATGTATGTACAGCATATACAGTACATGTACACTTCTTCCTCCACGGAGGGAAAGGAAAAGAGTGTGACAGTTAGCAACACCTGTTACAATAAATGGTACAGAACAAAGGCAAGCCATCCTTATCACCATTTGGCCTGCCTGCATCACAAGTTAAAGATAACAGCATCTGTTGGTGAGTACAGTACAGTATAGTGTGTACAGTAGTATAAATTACAGGGAATTTTGTTGACTTACTATTGGACCTGTACAGTAGTGTTTACAGCTCTGTAGCTGTCCAACTGAGGTTAAGCCTCCCTAGCAATTTTTCCCAGGTATAAGGATTTGTCTCATTACCCAGAAATCTCTCGTACACGGGAATCTCGTGCACCAATTGTTCTGGCTAATGGGGATATTACTGCACAGGTACAGTACTGGTATCTTCATCAATCTCCTCATTCATTTGGTCTATCATGAATCATATTATACTTGCTATCAAAGACCATAACTACTGTACTACCCTTATACTGTAGCGCTCTACAACTCACATCTAAAAGCATTTAAATAAACTTCCCCAAATTATACTTTAATACCCCTTACCCCATAGGCTAAACCATGTGTCAATTTACCTTTTGGAAGTCCTCGATATCTTCCTTGTAGTCGGCCAACTCGCTCTTCAGCTCCGAGAGTTCTTGCTCTTCGATAATCAGCTTCCTCTTCTCCACCCCTAAGGTCTCGATGGCTTCCTCTACGTCCCGCAGATCTTTACTCGTCAGCTGCGGAAACCGATAAAATGTCACTCATATCATAAGAGCAAATACCGTCGACGTCTAGAGTAACAGGTCTACATATAACATAATTATTACTTTCTGGGGGGAGCAAAACACAGTAATCTCCCTCACCATAGTCGGCTCAGTAACAGCAGCAGCAGCTTCCTGGGTTGACTTTGGCAGCTCCTCAGAGAGAACCTCGGCTTTATCCTTCAGTACTGGGGCTCGGTCGATGAGTTCCTCTGGATCAGCCTTCTGCTTTGGGAAATTCAATAGAAAAGAAACAAGTATTAACAAAAACTTTAAGCGAAAAGTACTGTACATCATAAAGGTGAAGAATACATCACAGACATGACAAAGGACTGGGGAACACCTCCACAACAAATTTCACTATGTACTCAAAACAGTGCACATAATTTCCAACAATGGTAAAAAGCTCCCATGAATTTGACAACCAAAAAACTTAGTACTACAGTATTATCATTCACCAAACAATTCCCAAACACTAAAATAAAGTGCTGATGACTGTGAAACAACTATAGTAGAGTAGTTCAGTCTCCTTATGGTAAAAAGTACTTTACCATTTTGCTATCGTTTGCTACACTGACAACAAAGGCTCCCTACTCTGCTCCCCATATGCATAAAATCAAACACCAGGGACAAGAAACATCCACTGATGATGGCTGACATCCCTAATGTTAACTTCCACTGATTATGACCACCGTCCCTACAGTTAACTTCCACTGATGATGGCCACCATTTAAGGATTAAACAACAACAGAAAGTTTAAATTCCCAAACTATATATTTATCCATGATCTCAATACCCACTACCCTAATCCTTCTCTGATCTGTCTCCACTAAATCAAATGTCCTACTCCAACAATCCTCTTCTTACATAACCTTCTACAGTCACCTTTTTCACCAATTGTATATTTTCCTTTCCTGTTCTCACAATGTTGATAGTTTCTAGAAAACAGAATTAACAGAATCTTAGTAAAGACTTGTCTCTCTCCCTCTTACTTGGATCTCTCCCAGGACCGACACTGTAGCCTTGGTCACCTCCACGCCTTCAGAGAGGATCTTGTTGGCTGAGGGAGGCAACTGGGCCACTTCTGCCCCTGCCTGAAGAACCTCTGCCCGAGTTTCTTCCACGGCTTGTTGCACCGCCTGCTCCTGTCGCTGTGCCTCCTGGACGAGATAGGGTTTCGTGACAATAAATTGAAAGCCTATTGAAAACTATGCGAAGTGCAAATAGAAACCAGATTGACAAATAGAAACCAGATTATGACAAAAAAGAACCATATTATAACAAAATGGAACCACATTATGAAAAAAGGGAACCACATTATGACATAGAAACCAGATTATGAAGCAGAACCAGATTATGACAAATAGAATCCAGATCATTACAAAAAGGAACCAGATTATGACAAATAGAACCTAGATTATGACAAAAGCAATCTTGACTCCAGAAATCTCTACTTATTAGTGGTGGGAGGCTTGTTCGCAACACCAAAATACTGTACTGTGACCTGTGATGTTCCTATACAAAAACCTTTACATGTACTGCAGAGAGAAAATGTTAGCATAGATGAAATAACTGTATATATTGGGGTAAAGGAAGTATAACTGTCCATAGCTCATTACAGTATACAACAGGTACAGTAATGTATTAAACTCACCTCTTGTACTTTCTTCCTGGCAATTTCTTCCTTGATTTTCTTCTCCTCCTCAACTCTTTCCAGCTCCTTCTTGTCCTCGGCAATCTTCCTCTCCTCAACCTGAATCACTTCCAGGCGAGTCAAGTTGTCGATCTTACCCTCACGCTTACCGATGGCTGCTTTAGTGCGTGTGGCAACCTTGGCAGAGAGAGAGAGAGAGAGAGAGAGAGAGAGAGAGAGAGAGAGTGAGACTTTATGCAGAATATGAAACAAATAATAAATAATCTACACTTACATACTACACCTCAAATCTGAATAACTTACACTAATAAACTACACCTAACTAAATACTCAAGTGCTAATTATGTCTTTTAATATGTAGTAATTATTCATATAACAAACTTTTCAAGGGGGTCAGTTTATTGTCATGGTTAGGTTAGGTTAGGTTTTGATTCAGTGCAGAGAGACCCCTGGAGTTTATGGTCATATTTACCTCATCTGGTAGGGTTGATATGGTGGCAGCCAAGGTATTTGGGGTCTGGACGCTCTCTGGGAGGAAGAGCGTCCGCGAGAGGAGGAGCAGGGACGGGGGGACCTTCTCCGTGAGGCTCAACTCCAGCCACTGGGATAACTGCATGCGGAGCCGTTCTTCCGACAGACCGTACGCCCTCATCCCTCTGGTACGACAAGCCTGCTGTAGCTCCCACACAGCCAGTGACTCTACTCCTTCATGCTGGATAATCTGTAATAAAGAAGATTTTTCTTTTCGACTAAAAAAAGAAGATTGGAATGCCATAACTGTCAAAAAATTATGAATACTGTAGTTCCCAACCCCCCAAAATTATAGCTATGTACGGTACATCACTTGCCATGTGTAAAACTGTCAAAGAAAACTAATTACCCTTATATACTGAAACTGTATACAAAACCTCCTAGTGAACTGTCTGTCTGTTATATCAAATTCCGTTATATGGGGGTTTCACAATACTGTACAAACATAATTCAACAAGAAGCATTAATAATTTCTTCACATTAATCTCCTACCTATGTTTATTGAAACTTATTAACTGGTTTTTCCATATCAATTTCTTTTTATCTGACTATATTTTATTATCCTTCTGTTCCTTCACCTTTACTGTACCTGTGTCTACTGTCCCCACACTGCAGTCATGGACGATGCCACTCATAACCATTACAGTATCTCCATATATCTACACCTTATTCATCTATCTATCTACGCATGTATTTGCCTATCTATGTATGTATGTATGTATGTATGTATGTATGTATATATGTACAGTATCTATCTATTTATCCACTCAAATATCTATCTATCTACACAAGTATCTATGCATCCATCTATCTATCAAACTACACATCTATCTATCTATCTATATTCACATAAGTACCTATCTATCTACACAAGTATCTATTCATCCATCAAACTACACATCTATCTATCTATCTATCCAGTTTAGTTACTCCCAGCACCACAAGAGGACACCACTCCCCAGCTCACCTTGTCATCAGCAACCAGAGTTCTTAACTTCATCCTCAGTTGGAACCTCAAGAAGTTATTTGTACCAAAAGGTTGCATCTCCAACAGTCGGCAGAGAGCCACCAGCTGCGGCCGAGAGAGAGAGTCGAGGGTGATCTCGTCCTCGAACAACTTGCTGAACTTGAGAATCTCCTCGTTGCTGACGAATCCTCCAGTTTTTGTTACCTGTGTTGTAAAGGGGGAAAATAATTAGAAGGAATAATAAATAAATCTTACTTTTATGAATTATTGGCAAGTTTTTTTACACCATTAGCCTCTGTCTACCCAGCAGTAATTGGGGACCTGGATGTTAATCGATTTGCGGATCGTGTTCCGGGGTAATGATTAGCCAGTGCAGTTGGCGAGTTGTCCGGTCTTCTCGGACTATTCCTTGACGCTGGGTCATGCAGCTCATTAACTTGGGGTGTGGTTGCTGTGCCGACGACAGCTTCTACACTTTAAACAAATTCACGCCTAGCTAGCCCTTGGGCCTGCCATCCTCATTACACGAAGGGGAACCATTATTATTATGTGTATATGCATGTATTGTAGTCTCTCTTTGCTGTAAAACATTAATACATATTTATTGACATACAATTGTAGATTAGACATACAGTGAACCTTTATTTAACGGCCTACTGTGTATGGTTAGAAAAGTCCGTTATATTGAGGGCCCGTTAGATGTGAAACCTCCATCTGATGAACTATATAGAGATGAAAGTGTTATATCAAGGATCCATTAGATGAAACCTCCATATGAAGGATTACATGGAGATACATCTGTTATATGGAGGCTTCACTGTATGATGTAGTATACAGGAAATATACAGTACTGTAGTGTATTAATATTGGCTTGTATGGAGGAGGCCTGTTTGAATCATCCTAATGTATAATACAGTACAAGTTCAACCAGATATTTTTTTTATTTATTTTCTTTTTACGGGGATTAGACCACCCGGGCACAGGTCACTGACCCACATCAGGGCCTGGGGGCAAAAATATTATTATTATAATAATTATAATAATAATAATAATAATAATATTATTATTATTAAAATAATTCATAAAAATTAATAACAAAATACCTGTACTAAAAATAATAATAATAACCATAAATAAATGCAAAAAAGGAAAAAATAAATCAAGTATGAGAAACGATAAACATAATGTACAGTATGTTGTGTTGTCAATGTAAGAAAACAATTGAGACCCTGCAATTGTGTGTAAATGAGGCAGAAAGTCAGTTCAGCAACCTGGGACTTGGTCACAATTTTCGTGATGCCATATGGCAGCAGGGTCTACCATAGACAACACATTATGCTTCCAATATCTTCCCAGGCGGTAGTACCTCCCTGTTTGGTAGCTGCCTACTACCTACATTACTGTACTGAAATGTATTGACCCACCAAAGCTCATAAAATGGCCTTAAAAGTTGTTGTTGCTGTTGATGATGATGATGATACACTATAAAATAAACAAGAAAAAAACAACTAACCTTTTCAAAGAACTGAACAAATTCCTTGGCACTCTCTGAACGCCGTCCCTTCGCCTGTACTGCCATGGTGTCTAGTGTCTGCTGGAGGAACTTGGCCATCTCCAGCTTCACTTTAAGTCTCTTCTTCATCTTTGCTTCCTGCAGGAGGGATGGTGAAGTGGTGAGGGGGGTATTGAAAAAGATAACAATTCCACGACACACCATCAACTAGTAACCTTTGACAGTTTTAACAATCCCAACCAATTTATACAGACCTTCTCATTAGCTGTCTCAAAGGTGGATGGCAGCATTCCCGGGAAGAGTTTGAGAGCTACTGGTAACAAGATCTCCATGAAGGGTATGATGATAAACACGGAGAAGGGCAACAGGCGGAAGAGGTCGCTGGTCGTCCGTACTAACTGTAAGGACAAGAGATTTGTGTGTGTTAGAACCAAGAGCTAGTGGTGGTGATGGTTGGTGATGGTTGGTGATGATGGTGGTGATGATGATGATGATGATTCCACCTTTTTATATACAGTTTATCATTATTAAACTATTAGAAAATTAATAAACCTATTGTAACGAGGTAAAACACACGCCTTCAGGATAACAGATTGAAACAGTACAGTATAGTAATATTTGGCTCTGCCTGAGAAACGTTGAGGTCCTCGTGGATGGTTAAAAGTGGAATTACCAACACACACACACACAGAGGGAAAGTGAGTGAGAGTTTGAGATATATTGCATGATTCCCTGACCCAGATTCAAAAGAAAAACATTGTCAAAACAGTAATTCATATCACGTGTGGCAGAAGACATCCTCCTAATAAGAGTTATCATCGGAAGGTCACCTCTTCCCTCGTCAACAGGTAGGAACAGTAACCAGATATAAACAAAGGCGAGAGAGAACGACCATCATATTTCCCAAGTGAATGTTAATATAGACACTGGTATAATGCCTCAAAGCTGTTTCGTAATTGACTTATACTATATACAGTAGGTTGTGTTCTGTATTCAAGAGAGGGACTGGTGGGGGAGGGGGATGGAGGCGATGAGAGGCTGAAGCATAAACAGGTGTGAGTGGAGGGGGAGGGGGGAGGGGGTAGGGAGGGAGAGGAGCGAGAATACTGCCAGAGGTCACTGACTCACACCAACGCCCGTGATAAGGCAGTGGTGACGTCATTCGGGAACAACACACCATTAAACCTAAACATCCACATGTCACACATTAATTGGTTGTTATCGTTCATATGGCTCGAATATAGTTCCAAGTAAACTCTCTCTAACACTCCCATGCCTGTGGAACTTTCCGCGCCGGTGCCAGCCACACACATCGAGGTGGCTGCCATCACTTATCAAACACAGGAATGCTTTTTACCGAATGTTTAATGCAAGGTAAAGCCGGTAAAATATTCACAATGTTGATATAGATGTAGGTTAGTATTGGACCAGAAGCATGACATTTCCTAAGTCACACAGATATTTCACCTGCACGTGTTGCTAACGTCCCTATACAAGGTTACCATGGTGGTTACCTGTACCGAGTCCTTCAGGTTACCAATTAACGTGTCATTATAAAGTATCGCTGCTCAGTATGTCCTCACCCTACTGTTATTACCATCATTGTCCTGTAAGTAACTTGACTCACCATGTAAAATCGACCACCAACAAGTAACATTTACCTTCACATAATGGATTACTATCAGCTTGAAGGCCTACCCTGGGTGTGTTCAAGGTGTGGTGCAACTTACCTCGCCTTCACCCCACCATACACCGCCTAGTTACAGTTCATTCTGGTGAGACAACGATAGACAACCCACCACTTGCACTAACATCAACAACCTAAACATCACATATATAATCTTAAGCCTGTATCTACTAATGTATTATACATCATACATTTTTAATGCCTGAAACAAGTCCTTTAAATTTCCATTAGAGAAGCACAAGTGATGCTATGGCTTGCTTGCGCCTTGGCCAAGTAGAGGGTGGCGGGGTGGTAAGCTGCTGGTTGCCAGGGGCACATCACCTCTGTTATGTTGTACAAAACCTAAACGATTTTCAGTTCATACAGTCTCTGAAAACCAAATTTACGCAGATACAGGTAAGAAATATAATCTCTTTGTTCTAGTTAACGATAATCGGGAAGTGACGATAACAGCAGCAAGCGTAGTAACATCGCCCTTTAGTAATGATTTGCTTTACGGGTCCGAACCTGTGTGTGTGTATTGTCATGCCACTGCAGGGCCCTCGCCTCCGCCTTCGTTCAAGCTAACGGGCCTCCTTCCCCACAAGCACTGTACCTGTGAATTTTTCCCTCTCGCTCTTAGTTTATCCCAAACCCTCATGACACCTCCCGCACTCCACTCATAGATCTACAATAACACACTAATTAACCATAAGAAGCTATCATACCCATACAAACACACGGGCGCCTAATTTTTCCTACAACAACTAAGTTGTACACAGTTGAGGAGGTAGATATGTAAATACCAGCAGCGGAAAGCACCCCCCCCCACTCCCTCCCGTCCCCGAGACGCTGCGGCCAGGCTACGTGATGCAACACACTTCCAACCACAGTACAATACCACACCTCGCTGGCCTGTGTAATACCTTAGAGGGGGAATCATACGTTGCTCTTCACCATTCTATAAGAGTAAACAGACGGTGGTAAGGATACGCGTCTATGAACTAATAATATAAAGGTATATACATGACCTATCCAGCGCCGCAATACCATTTTATCTGGCTGGCTGTCGAAGTCCACGACTGATAGACTGTACACCGATAACATTCTACACCACTTCTATTATCCCTTAACATAAATACATCTGGCACGGTCTAACTATACCCAAAATATTAGTCACATAATGAAATGTTCCGCGTTGCGTTCACACAACCATTGCAGTGTACTGTACATGAATGCACACACCAGCTGGGCACCTTAATCTGCTTCGTTCATCTAATCAACAAAAGTATTCAACCACAATAACTTTCACACGTCATTCTAACTGTCTCGAGATGGTTGCCAAGCTTTAAACGGCGTGAAGAATGTATGGAAAACATAAATAAAAGATAATATATGATAACACAAAGAGCTCATAGCTGCTTAACTAAATATAGCAGGCATGAAAGGATGTGTCGAAATCTCTGAGCCGCGCCAAACAATAATAAGTATTTATAACCATGACGTAACAATACAAATAAACACAGGATGATAACCCCAATGAACGTCGAAGCTCCATTAAAAGGTAGTTTAAATTTTAGTTCGAGGAGGGGACAGATTCTCACAGACTTCAGCAGGTTGTGTCAGGTGGTGTGTGAAGTGAGAATAGGCTGAGTATAGTTGGTAAGTAAGCTTATAAAAACACAATATACACAATACTACATTAATATGACTGACTGCGCCAACACAAACCTTAAGCATTATCACAGACGAAGGATGACAATTAAATCAACCAAACAAAATGTCAACATTACACACAATTAGTCTCCCCCCCTTCCGTCCTGTCCTCACAGACAACATGTCAGGAACAAAATTGTCCTCACAAGCTTAGTAACACAAATAAGAACATTACACCTGTCCTCACAACACTACACACCTGTTCTCACAACACTACACACCTGTTCTCACAACACTTCACACCTTTTCTGACAAGGCAACACTACACACCTATCCTCACAACAAAACATGTAAGACAATCCCTGCGTTCACAAACTGCCTTGTAACGCCTCCACTGCTACCTGCCACTGTTAATACACACACACACACACAGATCAAGTTACCGACGCGTGCACCTAACATAATCCAACCACAAAAAAATGGAGTTTTACAGTATACTTAATTTAAAAGTTCTATGGGTATGATGATGATTATGAAGATAATATGATGATGATTATGAAGAAAATAAGATGATCATTATGGTGATGGTATGATGATGATAAAACCTACTAGATACATATACATATAACCTAGTGTAGATAATATTTCAAGGTTGCTGTATCACTTTCATTATAATTAGCTACAGGAAATTCGGAGTTTATATTAAAATCATAAATTTGTCTATTCCCAATTCCTCTATATATATATATATATACATATATATATATATATATATATATATATATATATATATATATATATATATATATATATATATATATATATATATATATATATAGGCAGGGTATTTTTTTTATGATTGTGTACTGAAAATCTAAACAATTCCCAGCATACTGCAGCTGTAAATATGTACAGTAGCTAAAACAACTATCTGTGCATACTTTGTGGGAAACAATATGTGACCATGGACGATAAATTTTGGTATATGAGGCTGTCACTAGTCACACGTAAAATTTCGGAGCATATCGACCCCCACTTGCACAGATAGTCGTTTTAGCTACTGTACCTGTATATTAGTTTTTATTTAGAAGAGAGTAAGTATTCAGTGAAGATCAACTGACTAGACCTGGCCCAAGTAAATAATGGTATTAAATGACATTAACTCGTATCTGTAAGTTCATCTATAAGCCAATAAACTTGGGAATCATCCAACCCGAATTTAGGTTCTCCTAAGTCACAATAATCCTCAAATATATAAAAATAAAAACAGAAATTTCCTAACACACTTAACATTGTCATTCAAGGTCGGTATAAATGTTGTCCTTTTTTTTGCAAAACAACATTTTCCCCAACATTTTCCTGTTAGAATGTTAAACGTGCAGGACTCATAATATATAATATTTTCTATAAAATACAAGAAGAAAACACTATTATGGAACATAATTTATTTTGCTTGCAAACATAAATATTATGGTTTAGATACGTAAGGCATTAGCCAGGAACACACACAATAAAGGTTCTATATTGTGCCAGTTGTAAGGCTGGTACTCCTGCTGTTAAGCTTTTATATCAGGAAACAATCGTGCTTGCGACTTTCAACATCTCTGCTTTAGGTTACTGCAGGCGCAGGTCGATACAGCTTGTCTCTCTCAGTAGGTTACCAGAGCTGCCTTAACACATCACGAAAAACGGAACTCGACGAAGCTTTCAAGATCTATGTTAACCAATCCCTTTATTATGCGATAAGACTTAAAAATAACTTGTTAAGTTATCAGAGGAAGTTCCATGATACAACGATTTTCCTAGAGGCATGACGTCACACCTCACCCCATAGTCACGTGATGCGTTGTGACGTCACCGATATCTCCCACCGCCCAATGATAAAGCGTCACCACCTGCAATTTATCCTCCCCTCATAAATGGAGTGATTAGTAACCTTATCCATCTCACATGATGGTCATCTATAATGTAATATTCTATGTATAAAAGTAACTTAAGCCATAACGTTAAGGAAAACTGAACAAGTGTAAATATAGGCGCAGCACCATTGGCAAGAGCAGCGGCGGCGGGAGGGAG